TAGTTATTTTATCTGTACTGTGGGAGTACTGTTTGTCTTGCCCAATCACATGTTTTTGTGAAGACCAAGTGAGATCATGAGGTGATAGGGTGCCACACAGCTATAAATACAGAAAGACTGAAGAGTCAGGGGAGGATCAGCGTGGTATAGGAGTGCTAATTAGGCAGTGCTTTCAGGAGGACATAGGCTTTAGTCAGGTGTTTAGATAAGAAGAGAGGAGATTGTTCCAGGCCAGAGCTGTTACAGGAGGGGATTAAGGAGAAGAAATGAAGGCGCTATATGAGGGGCAGCTAGGAGCCCTGCTGTTGGAATAGAGTTTAGTTATAGACAGATGTGAGCTTGGATAACGGCAGGTGGCCAGTACACACAGTTTTATCTGAAGATTTCTTATTTTTGGAAACAGGCTTGCTCTGTTACCCAGAGCAAGTGCAGTAGTGTGACATGGCTCACTGTAGCCTCCAGCTCCTAGGCTTAAGCTATCTTCCATTTCAGCTTTCTTAGTAGCTAGGACTACAGTTGCACTTCCTACTTTTTGTTAGAGATGGGATCTTGCTATGTTGCCCAGGCTGGTCTTGAACTCCTGGGCTCAAGCCATATCTGCCACCTCAGCTTCTCAAAGTGCTGGCATTCCAGACGTGAGCCATTGTGCCTGGCCTGAACATTTCTTGATTGTTAAAAAAGGGACTTTCCTGCCCAGAGTTTCAACAGAGAATAGATAATAGTTGGTAAGTGATCTCTGGCCATTTATGTGTTTGCTCATTAAAAGTTGAATGATTGAAATATATGAGAAATATATGCTCAAACCTCCTAAGTTAGAGAATCAGAATAATTTGATTTAAGTGAAACTGGATAGAAAATGATCCCATGTGTTGCCCTTGAACTGCAGAAGTCTCCAAATGTAAAAGCTTCATTTCTAGTCACCAACTTTGTGGACTAATTCTTTCCATTGCCAAATCTGTCTTGCTTTCCTTTAAAAAAATTGTATTTTTGAGATAGGATCTTTCTTTATGGTCCAGGCTGGAGTGTAGTGATATGATTATAGCTCACTGCAGCCTTGAGTTCCTGGGCTCAAGTGATCCTCCCACCTTAGCCTCCCAAAGTACTGAGATTACAGGCATGAGCCACCACGCCCAGCCATTTTTTGCCTTCCTTTAGGGCAAAATGTTGTCTTGTACTATATACTTTGTATTATTAGCAATGCCTTGTTCATAGTAGATGCTCAATAAATATGTCTCATTGCTTAGTAACAGTGTCCAGTGTTTGTGAGCTACTTTCTACCTACTAGTTTTTTCTTATACACTGTGTTTTTGGGGGAATGGCCCTCTTCCAGCTAATCCAGGCCAAGCACTTAGAGTTACTCTGGGGTGCTGTCCCTCTCACCTTCTCTCTGTCTGTACTACCACTACTGTAGTTGATCCTCAGCTCCTGCCTGGTCTGTTGTAATGGACTTCTTAGCAGTTTCTTTGCTTCATTCTTGAAGACCCATTCACCACAAGCCATTATCATAGCCATATATGAAGATACAGGGCCAGGCACGGTGGCTCATGCCCGTAATCCCAACCTGGCCAACATGAAACCCTGTCTCTACTAAAAGTACAAAAATTAGCCGGGCGTGGTGGTGGGCACCTATAATCCCAGCTACTCAGGAGGCTGAGGCAGTAGAATCGCTTGAACCCAGGAGGCGGAGGTTGCAGTGAGCTGAGATCATACCACTGCACCATTCCAGCCTGGGTGACAAGAGTGAGACTCTGTCTCAAAAAAATCTGGGGGATGGGTTTTCTACGAAGAGAACAACTTTTGCAAAGCCCTGGGGTGGAAAAGAACTTTGCACATTTGGCCAGGCATGGTGGCTCACGCCTGTAATCCCAGCACTTTGGGAGGCCGAGGCAGGCAGATCACGAGGTCAAGAGATCAAGACCATCCTGGCCAAAATGGTGAAACCCTGTCTCTGCTAAAAAGATACAAAAATTAGCTGGGTATGGTGGTGTGCACCTGTAGTCCCAGCTACTCGGGAGGCTGAGGCAGGAGAATTGCTTGAACCCAGGAGGCGGAGGTTGCAGTGAGCCAAGATCATGCTACTGTACTCCAGCCTGGCGACAGTGCGAGATTCTGTCTCAAAAAAAAAAAGAACTTTGCACATTTGAGGAAGGATAAGGAGGTCAGACTGGTTGACAAGGATGCTGAGGAGAGTCCGAGAAGGCATAGAAAGGTGAGCAGGGCCCAGATCATGTGGGACCTTGTTGGCCTTGGTAAGGAGTTTGGACATTAATTGTAGGGAAACTTCTAGGTGTGCTTCATAATATTAAGTGTTCTCTTGGCTGCTGTGTGGAGAATCCTGGAATCTGTTTTCCTTGTGGGTAGCAGGTTGGCCTGAGTGAGATCCAGGCACCTCGCTAGATTATGCCCAACAGGGTGATGGTGCCTTCTGCCCTTTCAGGTTTGACCGGTGCTCAGCCCTCATTCCTGTATCCCCTCTCAGGCCCGAAAGGGCAGTGCCTTTGCTAGGCTAGGCTGGCCCCAGTGTTTGGCGTGCCTGCCAGTGGCTTGAGCCTATAATTTGGTGGGTTGGCTGGTTACAAAAATAAAAAGTGTGACCTATAACTACAGCTGAGTGGATTCAGTGAAGAGGGAGCTTTTAATTTGCAGAGGTTCTAGACTATACTTAACTGAAGGAAAAATGTGTCTCCTCCCTGGGTGCTGCTCCGTTTTCTCTCTTTAATACTTACTCTGGGGTGGGTTAAGGTTTGTGGGCCTGAGAGTGAGATGTGGGGGACTTTAGGGAGTTATTTGGAGGGGATGTTAGGGTTCAACAACAGGTTTACAGGGCTTTCTGGGAAGTAGACATTATTCAGTCTTAAGTCTCATGTAGCCCCGCTAGGATGGAAGCAGAGTTTTAAAATGTTTGAATGATCATTCATTTATTCATTCAACCACTATTATTGAGTGTTTACTCTTATTTTAGACATTAGTGATACCACAGTGAACAAAAGAGACAAGTCAGTCTCATAGCATTCACATTGTTGTTGGGAAGAACAATAAACAAATATGCAGGTATATAATATTATGTTAAATAGCAAGAAGTGCCATGAAGAAAAAGAAGGTAAGATAAGGAGATAGATGGTCATTGGGGGTTACAGCCAGGTGTGTCATGTGCCTATAGTCCCAGCTTCTTGGGAGGCTGAGGCAGGAGGATCCCTTGAATTCAGGAGGTTGAATCCAACCTTGGCAACCCCATCTCTTAAAAAACAAGAAAGAGAAAGTAATGGGGAAGATATTTAGGTAAGATGGTAAGATGATCAGGCAGTTTGGGGAGTTGAGCTATCTAAAGATTCCAGGGCCTGAGTATGTCTCCGAGGAAGGGGCTCCCTTTGGCAGTGCAGCCAGTCTGGGTGGGAAACAGAGTCAGTACTCATCTGGGGGTTCAATTGAGTTCCTAGCCCCAGGTGGGCCCCAGTCAGAGCCTGTGGTTGCTTCTTACCTGGCTCCAGTTGTCAGGGTGTTGATTAACTGTAAATAGATACTTGTCTTTCCTAGGCTTGTCAAGTCTGATTCTCTCAAGATTTCCTGAAGTCACTCTGTGTGTTCCAGACTTGAGGAGGAGTAGGAAGTCTGGTCTGGGAAGCAGCTGCAAGGCGTGTAAGGATGGATGCCTTTTGCCCATGTCTGGGTGCTCAGCCAGGCCTTTTGTAAGAGTTGTGGGGCTCAGTGACTTGCATAAAGGGTGCTCAGTACATTTTAAGTAGAAGGCTGGGCACAGTGACTCATGCCTGTAATCCCATTACTTCGGAGGCCGAGGTGGGAGGATTGCCTGGGCTCAGTAGATTGAGGCTCCAGTATGCTATAATCATGCCACTGCACTCCAGCCTGGGTGACAAAGTGAGACCCTGTCTCAAACCCCTCCAAAAAAAAACCCAAAGCATTTTATATAGATTTTTTTTTTTTTTTTTGCGACTGAGTCTCACTCTGTCACCCAGGCTGGAGTGCAGTGCTGCAGTCTCAACCTACTGTATCCTCTGCCTCCCGGGTTCAAGTGATTCTCGTGCCTCAGCCTCTCAAGTAGCTGGAATTTCAGGCGCCCGCCACTATGCCCGGGTAATTTTTGTATTTTTGGTAGAGACAGGGTTTCGTCATTTGCCAAGGCTGGTCTCAAACTCCTGGGCTTAAGTGATCTGCCTGCCTTGGCCTCCCAAAGTGCTGTGATTATAGGCATGAGCCACCATATCTAGCCTTAAATAGAAATATGATTTGAAGGCCAGTAACCTCTTGAATTAGTAACCTCTTGAATTAGAGATCTGGTATTGAGGAGCCTAATGAAAATATTTAAGAGTAAGAATTATTGTTGATGGTTTGAGACTGTTTCTCTGTACTTCAAAGTTGTGAAATCACTGAACTGCACATACTAGTCACCTTTCTTTTCTACTCAATAATGTTGGTCTAGTCATGACCCTTCCACAGGCTTTAGGGCCCTCCAGGTACTGGGGTAATTCTTGGCTTTTGTTGGCCTGCCCTTTAGCACATTTTATCTCTTGTGCAACCATGGAGGGACCCTATTATTAGTAGTAGTAGTATTATTAGTATTTGAGACAGGGTCTCACTGTGTCTCACAGGCTGGAGTCCAGTGGCATGATCTTGGCTTACTGCAACCTCTGCCTCCTGGGTTCAAGTGATCCTCCTACCTCAGCCTCCCGAGTAGCTGGGACTACAGGCAGCACACCACCATGCCCGGCTAATTTTTGTATTTTTGGTAGAGACAGGGTTTCGTCATTTGCTAAGGGTGGTCTCGAACTCCTGGGCTCAAGTGATTTGCCTGCCTCGGCTTTCCAAAGTGTTGGAATTACAGGCTTGAGCCACTGCTCCTGGCCTGGACCTTATTTTAAAAGCTTTCTGAACTGGGTTTTTTTTAACCAAGGTTAAAACTATGATAGACCTTTTCAGCTTCTGGGACATTAAAAAAATAAATAATAAAAAAATAAAAACTATGATAGACCAGCTGAGGTTGAGACCTCTGCTCCTGGGATTTTATTGAACTCTAGGGTGGTGGAGTTGCTGTTATGTGGGCTCATTTTGTAGGCTGGAGACCACATACACCCCCTCCCCTCAATGCCAACCCTGAAGTGAGGCCCAGACAGTATTCTAGAATGGATGAGCCAGAGATATCTAACCAGGAAAGAGCATCTTTGTTTGAATCCCTTCTGTGTCCGGAGTATGTTTGGGCCCCTTACTTTGGACATACTTCTCATTTGTGGTTGTGGTTATTTTGTTTTACTTGCCACTCAGCAGAATCAGTATCACATAAGCACTCATTATCCTCAGGCCCTTGGCAGGCAGGGCACTTGGTGAATCTGTTCCCTTGTGAAGAGCTCATGTCTGCAGATTATTTTCTGATGGCATCTGGCATGAGTTCCAGATTGATGGTCCAATAGCAGCTATTAATTGCTTCCTTTGGGCTTAATTATTGCTGGCATGGTGGGTGACTAAGGAATTAAGAATCTCTTATGCATTTACGGGGCAACAGGTCCTGGTGGCGTCCCAGAGCATTTATCTGTCATTTCCGTAGAATATCCTTGTTAAAAGTTTTGAGCATAATCTCAGAAGCTGGAGGATAACCAGCTAGACAGTGTCCAGTAGCATTTAGCTTCTCAGTTGATTCTTTCCAAGAATTGAAAAGAAAGCATCTAGTGCTTGTTGCCCACAGATCCAGGGGAATGTCAAATTGGTGTCATAACAGTACAAAAGCACTACCAGCTGCTTCTGATTGTCTTGGAGGCAAGAGGGCAAAGAGAGCCTTATTATGTGGCAAGACAGCTAAAGATTCACATCAGCACTCAGGAGGGCCTTTGAGGTAATGAACCTAGAATTGTTAAGGTGTCATTTTATTTTTTCTTTTTTTTTTTTTTAAGGTGTCATTTTCTTTGCCTGGAGACAGAGAGGGGGCAAGATACCAGCCCTCAAAGACTCACCAAGTACAGCCTAGTACTCATTCACTCAACAAGTGCTTAGAATTGTATTGAAAGCTAGAGAAATAAAGGTGACTAAGACAATCATCCTGCCCCCAGGAGTACAGTCTAGAGGGGGAGACAAACATATTAAATACACAATTATAACATACAGCTGTCTAAGTGCAATTCCATAGAGATGCAGGAAGCATTGGAAGAGCACAGTAGAGAGGTGTGGCTTGGGGAATACTGCCCAGAGAAGGAAATCTCTGCTGGCTGAAAGGGTATTTCGGAGTTGGACAGAAGTTTGGGAAAGAAAGCATTCCAGGTAGAGAGGCGTTAAGGCGAGACAGCATGATGTGTTCAGAGAATCCTCACACAGCTGCTCAGTGCTGTTGAAGTGCGAAGTGTAAGGCAGAGACTTGTGGGAGGCAGGGATAAAGTGGTCAGGAGGGCTTTGAATGCCATGTGAAAGAGACTGTGCTTCATGTGTTTCATAGTCAGATTGAGTTGTAGGCAAGTCAGTCTGGCAGCGATGGGAAGGAATCAGAATTGGAGGTGGGCAGCTGAGTGGGAGGCCTTGGCTCTATGGTGGTGATGATGGGAGCCTAAACTGGGACCAGTTTGCACAATGGAGATGATGGGATAGTCAAATAAATGTTAACTATTAATAGTTAAATTTTCATGACTGATTAGATGACTGATGATTAGATTTTATTTCAATTTTTGATGGCTGATCAGATTTTACATTGAGAGGATAAAGATGAGGGAGAAGGGAGGAATTGAGGATGGCACCCATATTTCTAGCTTGCTAAATTAGTTGGTTAGAGTTAACTGCTCTAGCAAGGGAACACAGTAGAAGAAATACCTTAGAAGGGAAAGTGATGAGGCCACTTTGAGACACATGCAAAGCCTGTGGAAGTCTGGGTAGAATGTCCAATGGGGATTGAATATTTAAAGCTGAATCTCAAAGGAGAAGTCTGGGATAGAAATACATATTTGAGAGTCATCCATGCCTACTGTCAAATACGAATTTGTGCTTTTCTCTGTAGTCTCACAGCACAGCCCTTCAGTGATGGGGAGGGATAACTCTTAGGACTTATGTCCTGTCACAAGGAGAGAAGCACAGTTGTTGAGAAAAGTAGTTAGTTGAGGGGGCCAAAAATAGTGATTTGTGGCAGAAGTGGACCTGAGGAAGTTAGGAGACAGTTGGTGAGGTGAGGAATCTGAGATGAGGTGTGAACACTAGAGATAACCTGGCAAAATCTCTCCCAGATCTCTCCACAGATAACCAAACTGTGTCCCCAGAAGGTTAGAAGAATTGTCCCAGATCATTCAGCTGCTCAAATAGCAAAGCAGCTTAGTGACTTGACTTTGTTTCACTAAGTTCTGGTCCCAGTTTTCCTGTAAATTCCCTGGTGGCTATTGGTTTCTTGATTTTGAAGGGGCAAGGGTACAACTGCTCTAACCTACAGAATTATTAGATCACATGAGATGAGGGAATTGTACTTTACATATGTTTAACCTATACTATTCAGCTATATGTACATACTCTTTTATATATTTTAAAGTACTATGAAATTAGGCTGGGCAGAATGGCTCATACATGTGATTTCAGTGCTTTGGGAGGCCAAGGCAGGAGGATTACTTGAGGCCAGGAATTCAAGTCCAGCCTGGGCAACATAGCAAGATCTTGTCTCTACCAAAATAAAAAAATTAAAATAGGTGGCCATGATGGTACACACCTGTAGTCTCAGCTACTTGGGAGGCTGATGTGGGAGGTTTGCCTCAGTCCCGGAGTTCAAGGTTACAGTGAGTTATGGTCATGCTGCTGTACTCCATCTGTCTCTAAAAAAAAGTATGAAATTATATTTTGTATACTTACTTAGAAGCTAACTTGAGTCAAATGCGACTCCTGGAGCTAGAGACACCATCTGCAATGATCTCTACATCTATGATACCCGCAAGTCTCCTCCTCTGTGGTTCCACTTCCCCTGTGCAGACTGCCAGCTGAAACGCGTGGGCCATCGCACCTGCCTTTGGAATGATCAGCTTTACCTGGTTGGGGGTTTTGGTGAAGATGGCAGGACAGCCAGTCCACAGGTTTGCATCCTGGATCTCTTTATCTAAATAGCGCCAAGACACACCACTAAGCCTTGTTTTGTTTTGTTGCAAACCTATAAAGCATTATCAACAGCGCTATCTGCTTCACTTCAAAGCTTATTAAATTTCAGTCTGACAGTCAAAAAAAAAAAAAACAGGCCATTCCTGTTACCACTTACAGAGTCTTTCTCCTGTGCCAGGCACTGTGTAAAATCCCTTTTATTCATTTATAAGAGGTAGATATAATCCATATTTTATAGATGAAGACACTGAAGTTCAAAGAATTTTCACAACTTTCCTTGGCTGGGCGTGATGGGTCACACTTGTAATTCTAGCACTTTGGGAGGCCAAGGTGGAAGGATTGCTGAGGCCAGGAGTTCAAAACCAGCCTGGGCAACATAGCAAGGCCCCGTCTCTACAAAAAGTGAAAAAAAAAATTAGCCAAGTATGGTGTCACATGCCTATAGTCCTAGCTACTTGGAGGCTAAGGTGGAAGGATCACTTGATCCCCTGAGTTTGGGGCTGCAGGGAGCTGTGCTCGCACCACTGCACTCTAGCCTGGGCAGTAGAGCAAGAACTTTTTGATTATCTTATGAAAAGTAGCAGGATTCAAATCCAGGTCATCCCTGATTCCAAAGCCTGTGCTGTACTAGAAAGTTTAAAATGCTACTCAGATGTAAGGGATTTGTCACCAGGTTGTGTCCAAGCGGACAGTTTTCTCTGTGCTGTGCACAGTCTCCCTGTTACTCTGTGAAGGTTTGAACTTCAGGTGTTCAGCACACATGCTTGGTTCAGCTGGTTTCACTCAGTTGTGCAGAACAGGGAAGCATTGTGTAATGATCAACCAAAACCAGTCAGATAAATTAAGTTGGACCTTCTTAAGTCAGAGAAAGAGATTTGTTTTCTTTGTAAGGAGATGGGTGAGCATGGTAGAAAAGCCTGTATGGTGGAGGCCACACATCTGGGTTTGAATCTGCGTTCTACTACTTTCTGTGTAACCTTGAGCCAGTTGGTCTCAGATTCTTTTTTTTTTTTTTACTCTTGAGACAGAGACTCGCTCTGTCACCCAGGCTGGAGTGCAGTGGTGTGATCTCGGCTTACTGTAGCCTCTGCCTCCCAGGTTCAGGCAATTCTCCTGCCTCAGCCTCCCAGGTAGCTGGGATTACAGGCACATGCCACTATGCCTGGCTAAATTTTGTATTTTTGGTAGAGGTGGGGTTTCACCATGTTGTCCAAGCTGGTCTCAAACTCCTGACCTCAGGTGATCCCCCGCCTCAGCCTCCCAAACTGCTAGGATTACAAGCGTGAGCCACTGCACCTGGCTGGTCTCAGACTCTTATTTCCCTCATCAGTTAAACAGGTTTAATATTTACCTCCAGTGATTATTAAGATTAGTAAGTGAGATAATGTGAGAAAAGTGCCTGGCATATAAGAGATGCACAGTAATGTTTTTCATCCCTGTTCCCTAGTGAATATAACACTTAGGACACCAGACTTTTCGAGAAGCAGAGAAGATTTGGGTCTTGGGGAGGGAACTCTCGAAAGGCTAAATCCAAAGAGGTGTTTTTTTCCCAGCTGGACAATCAAATGAGTTGTAAAAAATCTGAAACAACTCAAAAATAGCACTGGGCTGTGGGTAGGCTAGACCTCTATGTCAAGTTCTAGCCTTCAAAGCTTGAGAGGGGACACCATTGGGAGGACAGCTTATAGATCTAGAGCAGACCGAGGTCATTATGATTCCTCCCATAGAAGCACTGAGGCACTGAGGATGTATCTCCATTTGAAAGTAAGGAGAGACAATACTTGTAGAGCCTCTTCCTGGCTGATACAACTTGTGACAGATGTGTGCCTGTTCCAGACCTCAGTTTATCTTTCTATAAAGCAGGAGTTATGTCTCTCCCACATGTGTCTCGAGGTAGGAAGGGATTCATTAAGTTTTATAGCTTTATAATAAGCTCTTAGATTTGTCACAAGACTCCTGGAAAGCCAGAGCTGGGCCCTAGGCCAGTGCACTGGTGCTGCCCCCCAAAATGGCCTCTGCTGTCCCTTTGGACAGCCCATAGTATCTATTAAGCTTTTTCTCTGTGCCATCCATACTTGTCTAGGAACAAATGTACTCAAGGCAGAGTCCTCAAGAAGCTTATAGTCTAGTTCAGGAAATAATATAAAATGGAAAAATCACTTCTCTCTCATATTATTATGTGAGAGAAGGGATTTTTACATGGAATCTTGTAATTGAAGTGTCTAGCACCATCCTGAACCAGAGTAGATGTTTATAAGCTTCAGTTCCTCCCTTCTTTGTAAATATACAAGAGTTATCACAAGGCAAAACAGGTCCCCTAGTTGGCACAGTGCATGGTACATAGAAGACATAAATGTTACCGGATGCTGTGGCTTATACCTGTAATCCCAACGCTTTGGGAAGTCAAGATGGGTGGGTTGCGTGAGCCCAGGAGTTTGAGACCAGCCTGGGCAATGTGGTGAAAGTCGTCTCTACAAAAAACAAAAAATTATTAGCTAGGCATGGTGGCGCATGCCTGTAGTCCTAGCTACTCGGGAAGCTAAGATGGGAGAATCACCTGAGCCTTGGAGGTCAAGGCTGCAGTGAGCCAAGATCTTGCCACTGCACTCTAGCCTGGGTGATGAAATGAGACCCAGTCTCAAAAAAAAGACACAAATGCTGTTCAAAGAATGATTGAATATGAGTGCTAATGGGAGGTTAGGGCAGAAAACCACAGAAATTCAGAGGAAGGAATGTACAGAGATCTGAGTTGTTTGGGAGAGGTTCTATGAGGAAGGTTGAGATGGTGCAAGTTGGTCCTGAAGGATTTGGAAAGGTACAAAGAAGAGCTAATATGATTCACTGTCTCAGAGGAGGCATTGTGAGGAGTTAAAAGCTCAGGCTTTGGGGTCAGACCTGAGTTCAAATCCCAGCTCCACCATATGCGTGCTTTGCAATGCTGTGCAAGTTCCATGACCTTTCCAAGCCTTTGTTTCCTCACTTGTAAAATAGGAATAATGATAGCCCCTACTTCATAGGACTTTATATCATTGTTTTGAGAATTAAATGAGATAATTCATGTAGAGTGCTTATCACAGTTCTGTCAATAAATGTTAGCTTTTTTGTTATTACTGTTTTCATTTTAGTAGTGTTATTATTATTATCCTACTTATGCCACCTACTTACTTAGCTCCTCATATTTTTTGTCATCTGACTTTCCTGCCTGCTGTAATTTCCTCATACATACTTTCATGCCTTTGTAGTAAATCACTTACAGACTCCTGGATTTGTAATGGTGTTTTGTGTTGCCACGCATTTGCAAATGCTGTCTCCTTGCCTGGAATATCACCATCTTCCCTTCTACTCTTGCCTTTGTCCGATTCCTTTCTGCTTGATATTTAAGACTAATTCCTAGTAGGGTGCTGTGGTTCATGCCTGTAATCTTAACACTTTGGTAGGCCGAGGTGGGTGGATCACTTGAGTCCTGGAGTTCAAGACCAGCCTGGCCAATTGGCAAAACCCTGTCTCTACTAAAAGTACAAGAATTAACCAGGTGTGGTGGTGAGCACCTGTAGTCCTGGCTACTTGAGGGGCTGAGGCAGGAGGGTTGCTTGAACCTGGGAGGTCGAGGCCACAGTGAGCCAAGATTGTCTAGCCTGGATGACAAAATAAGACCCTGTCTAAAAAAAAAAAACTAAGTCCTGTGACATTTCTTTCAGGAAGCTTACGCCGTACTTGACTCTGCAGTGTGATTAGATGTTAGCTCTTTGGGACCCCACAGTACCGTATGTGCCTCTTTTGCAGCTGTGCTATCTCTACTGACCTCTGATTTGCATGTCTACCTTTTCTCAGGATCTAAACTTCCTGAATGTAGTGATCATACCCTATTTACTTTGATATTGACAAATTCTAGCTTGTGCTTGGCATATAGTTGTTTTCTAGCTAAATGTTGAATGAAAAAAACCCCAAAAAACATAGCTAGCATTATTTATAACATTTACTATATAGGTTCTGATTTAAATGCTTTACATACATATATATTTATATATATATATATATTTTTTTTGAGACAGAGTTTCGCTCTTGTTACCCAGGCTGGTGTGCAAATGGCGCAGTCTTGGCTCACCACAACCTCCGCCTCCTGGGTTCAGGCAATTCTCCTGCCTCAGCCTCCTGAGTAGCTGGGATTACAGGCACGCGCCACCATGCCCAGCTAATTTTTTGTATTCTTAGTAGAGATGGGGTTTCACCATGTTGACCAGGATGGTCTCGATCTCTTGACTTCGTGATCCACTCGCCTCGGCCTCCCAAAGTGCTGGGATTACAGGCTAGAGCCACCGTGCCCGGCCTGCTTTACATATATTAATTTATTTAATCATTGCAGCAACACTATGAGGTAAGTACTATTATTCCTGCCTCCATTTTACAGGTAAGGAAACTGAGGCTCATAGAGATTAAATAACTCTCCCAAGGCCTCACAACTAGTTAGTGGTGGAGCCAGGATTCAAACCCAGGCAGTGTGGCTTCACAGTTAGTGCTTTAACCACTACATTGTATACATGCCTCCAGGAGTGTCACTGAGATTTATGATAAACATATTTATTGATTGTCCAAGAAAAGGTGAAGAAACATTAACCATGAGTTACAATTCCATGAACGCATTTAAAAATAATTTGTACATGTGTGGAGACACTGTTGGGGGAGTGGATGTTACTGCTGTCACTTAGGAAGGATTTTCTAGAGATGATAGATTTCACCTGTTGTGAATTGGAGGTGGAGCATGGCTGGCAACTTGAAAGGAGATAATCTGGGGTACAGTGGAGTAGAAAACTTAGGGACAGAAGCAGTATATGAATGGAGAAATTGCATTTACCCAGTCTTTATTGTGCGCCTATTACAGTGATAAACAAGCTGATAGTGAGTCCTGTGCTCAGAAGCCTGCCTTCTAGCAGGTTATAAGAAGTCTGGTTAAAGTGAAGAGCAGAGAAGTGGCTTAGAT